GACCCGAACGCCGTTGCTTTACAACGGGACTGATCACTTGGCAACCGGACCAGCGACTTTCCAACCATCGTAGCGCCCCCCAACAAAGAGGCCTCTGATAGTCTTGGAGCGTCTTCTGCAGTGCTTTAGAAAAGTCTCTGTGTGATTTCCGGAACTCCTCTGGGAGTCTTCGAGCGTCCTCTGAAATGCTTTTGAGAAATCTCTGTGTCGTTTCCGAGAAGCCTCAGAGTCTTGCGGCCTTTCAGGACCGTCTGATGGGGTTCCCGAGAACTCTCTGAGAGCCTTGCGGCATTAGAGGACCGTTTCAGGGGTTTCCGAGAATCCTTGGGGCGGCCCTTGACGGGGTGTCCGAGAAGCTTCTGCGAGCCTTGGAGCGGCCTCTGAAGGGGCTCCGAGACTGAAGGGCTTCCGAGAAGCTTTTGGGAGCATGGGAGCGGCCTTTGAAGGGCTTCCGAAGGGCTTCCGAGAGCCTCGGAGCGGCCTCTGAAGGGCTTCCGAGAAGCTTCTGAGAGCGTCGGAGCGGCCTTTGAAGGGCTTCCGAGAAGCTTCTGCAAGCCTTGGGGCGGCCTCTGAAGGGGTTTCCGAGAAGCTTCTGGGAACCTTCGGAATATTTAGGAACCCTTTCCGGATCCTCAGGAATCCTTCGGAATCCTTCGGAATCCTTAGGAATCCTTGGGCATCCTTTGGAATCCTTGGGACTCCTTCGGGAGATCCTTCGGGGTCCTTGGGAATCCTCCGGATTAGGAATCATATGAATCCTTCGGAGTTCTTTGGATTCCTTCAGCATCCGCAGGAATCCTTCGGGATCCTTAGTAATCCTTCGGGATCGTTCGGAATCCTTAGGAATCCGCAGGAATCTTTAGGATTCCTTAGGAACCCTTGGATTCCTTAGGAACTCTTCGGAATCACTGGGAGTCGACTCCCAGTGATTTTTGGGGCGATCCTGGGATCACCTTCAGAAGCATTGGGAATTGTCTCCCAGTGATTTTGGAGGCGATCCTGGGATCACCTTCGGAATCACTGGGAGTCGACTCCGAGTGATTTTGTGGGCGATCCTGGAATCACCTTCGGGATCAGTGGGAGTCGACTCCCAGTGATTTTTTGGGGCGATCCTGGGATCACCTTCGGAATCCTTCGCCGCGCCTCCTCGTCAGGACGAGGACGAGGAGGGGGAGGAGGAGGAGGAGGAGGAGGAGAAGGAGGAGGAGGAGGTGGAAGAGGAGGAGGAAGACGAGGCAGTGCGCATCGACGCTGTGCCGACCCCAGCGCGGGCGTTCAAGGTTGCGAGCTCTTGGGGGGGTGACATGTCGGCCCCCAGGACCTACATACTTGAACCCGCGGCGCAAAATCCGTGCTCAAGAGATGGGACGATACCTTCCAGGGGCCTCCACGAGCGGGGGTCTTTCAAACTTAATGATCCACCTGGTGTCAAAACCCAACGTCCACGTCGTCACGACACGGGGCTAAGTCCGGCGGGTTGTCCGCCTCCTTCACCACCGTGTTCACCACCTTCACCACCGTCGTCATCGTAACGGCGGGTGCTTCCGAGAAGCCCTCGAGAGGCCCCCTCGGTCCCTTCCGTTGTACCCTGTCCCCACATTCTCGGACGAAGCGGCGCAATCATGATCACCCATTCGACCATCACAATCAACATCACCAACATTACCAACAGCACGATCACCCCCGCCATGAGCATCACAACCATCGTCGGCGTCATGTCCACATCTTCATCGCAACGGCAGGCCCGAGAGCATTTTGAGGAGGGCGACCCTCCTACCTCTCCGCCTGGGCGCGGCTGGCCCGCCTAACGGCCGCCAGCCCGTCCTCCCCTCTCTCGGTCGGCCGCCGACCCTTATTTCTTTTGTTCCTACCAGTACTACTACCACTACTACTGCTGGTACTGCTACTATCACCAAAACCGGTATTATTAATATCACAAGCGCTACTACTACGATTACTAGTGCTACTTCTATTGATGCCGCTGCGGGCACTACTGCGACAAGTAGTAGTAGTAGTAGTAGTAGTAGTAGTAGTAGTAGTAGTAATAGTAGTATTAGTACTACTACTATTACGACTACTACGACTACTACAACCACTAGTACTACTAATACTCATACTACCACTACTACTACTACTACTACTACTACTACTACTACTACTACTGCTACTGCTATTACTACTACTACTACTACTACTACTACTACTACTACTACTCCTACTCCTACCACTGCTGCTACTAATACTATGCTTTCTACTACTACTACTGCTACTAAGATTACTATGGCTACGACTGCGCCTACTAATACTAATACCACTTATACTACCAACTCTACGATTGTTCCTGTTAATTTAGGTAATCACATTAAGACTACTACTCCTACAGCTACCTTTAGTACTACAGCTACTTCGACTACCAGTGCTATTACCATAACAGTAAACTGCTAGTACAGCGGCTCCTTCTACTACGACTGCTACTGTTGTGGTTGCACGAGGGCGTGAATCGACCCAGGGGCCGCCAAAAAAGAC